AAAATAAAATCCTTCGAGAGGTAGTTATATTACTACATCTACTAGTTAGGAAAATTTAAAAACTTAAATTTGGACATGTTTTGCAGAAAATGTAGGGAAAACGTAAAACGGCTATAATTTTTGCATACGATGTCGGAAAAAACTTACAATATATGAAAATGTTTGCAAATATTTAGAATCCTCAAATTCTAAAAGGAAAAAAAGTTATGCTCAAATTTCAGTTTTTTTGGACCCAATCGTTAAATCTGGTCAAATTACTTATTCAAGAAGTATTAGTGTTATAGTGTTACTAAATAATTATTCAAGAATATTAGTGTTACCAAATAATTATTTTAGTTTTTTTGAATTTTGGTCAAATCTGGTCAAACTGTGGTCAAACTACTTATTCAAGAAATATTAGTGTTACTAAATAATTATTTCAGTTTTTTTGAATTTTGGTCAAATCTGGTCAAACATTGGTCAAACTATGGTCAAACTTTGGTCAAACTGTGGTCAATTAGTGGTCAAACTATGGTCAAACTGTGGTCAAACTACTTATTGAAGAAATATTAGTGTTACTAAATAATTATTGTTTTTTAGAACAATAGTTTCAAACTCAAACAGTGAAATGTGTGACTTCATGCTCAAGCTAAATTCCTGAAGGTTAATAGGATGGACATCTTACTATTGTCAAGAAAACAACAAGTGCAGACTTGGAAACGAGGGAGAATAGAACCCGGAAGTTAAGCGTGCTCAGGCTGGAGTAGTGAGAGGATGGGTGACCGTTCGGGAAGTTAGATGATTTGGAATGATGAGGGGTGATTAGAGATTAGAGGTTAAATTGAGCAGTGATGAGGGGTGATTAGAGATTAGAGGTTAAAATAATTTAAAAATTTGAAAAAAAAATTCAAAAAAATTACAAAAAAATTATAAAATTTCCTTTAGTACCGGTTGTTACCAACCGGGACTAAAAGGTGGACCTCCAAGCAGCGGCCACGTGGAGGGCCTTTAGTCCCGGTTCGTATAAGAACCGGGACTAAAGGGGGAGGCTTTAGTAACGACCCTTTAGTCCCGGTTCCAGAATCGGGACTAAAGGCCCTTATGAACCAGGACTAAAGGCCCTTTATCTACTAGTGCACGTTTCACTTTTCGTAGCTTTGTTTCATAAAAGTCGTATATATTTCAATTCCACATTTCCGAAATAACATATTTCACCCTTTTGAAATAAACGGTTACACATTTCCAAATAATTAGTTTAGTTTCATATTACTTTCATTTTCAGAACCCACGTTTCACTTTTCACTGGCTGATTTCACAAAAAGCACAACTATTTCTGTTCCACATTTTTGAAATAACATTTTCTCTATAAGGTAATCTCTAAGATGATCGCTTGCCGCCTGAAATATATTCTCGACGAGATTATTTCCCCAGTTCCAAGTGCTTTTGTTCCTTTTAGGCTGATTACTGGTAATATTCTGTTGGCTTATGAGAGTCTACATAGTATAAAGAATAAGAAAAAAGTCAAATGGGGCTACTCTGCAGTGAAACTGGATATGCACAAAGTTTAAAATAGGGTGGAATGGAAATTCCTAAGAAAGATGATGAGCACAATGGGTTTTCATAATGAGTTTGTAGAGTTGCTGATGGCTTGCATTCAATCGGTCAAGTATAAGGTCAGATTCAACAACCAAGAAACAAATTCCTTTACTTCGGGAAAGGGTCTCCGGCAGGCTGATCCTCTATCATTATATTTATTCTTAATCTGTGCAGAAGGTTTGTCTAGTCTTCTACCTCATAGAGAGGGGGTTCGTGGCATTGAAGGGGGCAGGGGTTTGCAGAAATGCACCATCGGTATCACATTTACTTCTCGCTGATGATTCTCTTATCCTTATGAAAGCTGACATGAATAATGAAACCTCATTGAGACAGCTCCTAGACTAATATTGTGCAAGCTCGGGTCGATTGGTGAGTGAAGAAAACTGTAGCATATTTTTAAGCCCAAACATTGATGTGGACATAAAAGCTGATATTTGTCTGGAACTCAATATCATGTCTGAAGCTTTACCAGATAAATATTTGGGACTTCATGCTATTGTAGGAGTAGACAGAAGTGATAGCCTTGTTCATCTACTAAAGAGAATCATAAATAGATTGAAGAGTTGGAAAGAAAAGTTTATGTCTATAGGAGGGAAAGAAATTTTGTTGAAGGCAGTTATACAATCCATCCCTGTTTTTGCTATGTCCGTTTTTAATATTCCCAAGAAGCTATGTAAGGAGATGACAGATGCAATGGCGGAATTTTT